ATTTTACACATATACAAGTTCAAGATATGGCAATGACATGGAATTCTATTCAATATCAGTACCATGGTTTTAATTATCCTACCCAAGCAGAAATGTCAGAATCTGCACAAGGGTTTATTTTGAAGAAATGTTCAACAATCCTAACCAGCCAAGAAAAGCGAGATTTAGCCAACAAACATTTTAAAAGCTGAACTAAGTACTGATTCAATGGCATGCCTAGAGAAGGAATCCCCACTGCAAATTAAAACAATATTCCAGTGGTGACAAATAGTTGGGATCAAAAAGGGGGAGGGAATGACTGGTGTAAAAGGATGGAAGCCAGAGCAAATCACCATTAAAGGTCAAGCAGTAGGAAATGTTTACATGTCGACATTCACATGACACAGCTCACTGTGGGAGACAGTGTTGGGTTGTGCCATGCAAAGGTCAACAGTTCGTTGAGCGGTCATCTGGGCATTCACAGATAAGGGTTAATACACCAGCGCAGAGCAGCATTTGAAACTTTCTAGAACCCTGTACAGCTTTGTGGTGAGACATCTGGCCCCTTCCTCTGTGCATGCTCCAGGAGTGGTTTCATCCACCAGAACAGAGGAAAAAATTTCAAGTCATCAAGGAGGAAGGAAAGTGGATTCTGGGAGTGCACAGAGGACCACTCGAAGAACTACACTTTGAGATACGTGACCTCAATAGACCACATACCCTTTCTAGGTGCAGAGTGGCATGCAAAAAGGTGAATGGTTTTCCAAAAGGATGACACTCTTTCCATGTAGACAGCCAGGCCCTATCTATGTCAAATGAATGGAGTCTAGTTTCCAACATGAAAGTTTCATGGGGCAGGAAAATCAGTAAAAATATGGCCTTGTTTAAATGAAATTGGGATACCAAGTTAGGCACAATGGAATACCTGGGTCTGGAATCAAGCATTCACCTTGTCTTTGTGAACATTGAGGAAAGGTGGGTCATGCAGTAAAAAACACAGAGTTCAAACTCTCTTTGGACAGAGGTTAAAGCTCCAAGGTTAGAAGATGGATGTTCCATCCTGACTAGTGTCTCAAATGCTTTGGTGGTTAATGAGCTGGTATAACAAAGACATTTCATTGGGATGTCAGTGTCATAGTTGGATGATGTAAGTTTCCCAGACCCTTGAATAACTGCTTGAATAAGGGTGGGAGAACACAGTAAATCTATGAATGGTACTGTGGTGGCTGATACAGCCAGGTACACTCTTCTGGATGAATGGGCTAAGCCCCTTTGTTTTTATTAATAGGAACAAATTCAAAATGATCTATAGGTCACAGGTTGCTGTGGAGCTTGGTAACTCTATGGTTGTAAGAGTGAAGGTTTGAAACATTTTCTACTTTGATGCATAGAAATTACAAGAAATATAATGTGCCTTCTCCTTTCAGGTGTTAGAAATATTAATGGCTGCCTGTAAATCTTCCACTTGTATTCTCCACACAGTGAGGTGAAAGGACAGAAGTTTTGGGTGTCAGATCTGCTCCACTGTTCATTGAGACAACATCTGGTCTGTGTGAGCAAAGTTTTCTTGGTCTTTTAAGGGTCAAAGCATTGGATGAACAAGGACTGGAGCAGTTACATGTAGAGATGAACAAATGAAATGACTGCTATAGGAGAAGGCATAGGTCCAATGAGGCACTGAACTGCAATGGCCTTGCACAACAAGGCATGGGAAAGACTGGTTGTCAGAAAGCAGATGGCCTTTGTTCAGTCCCTGGGGAACTATGCTCTGACTTTTCACTGAATACTGCAGGATATGAAAGCTTGGCACAGAGAGTTCAGAAAAGTGAGGATAGCTGCCAAAATGTTGGTTGAAAATTGGTGGTGAAAAGAAGCAACCAATAGCCAATTGGTTGAAAAGACTATGATGCCTCTCAGTCTCATCTGTGCTGCAACAACTGCCACATACTTTGTAAAGACAAGGCTCAACAGGAGAACCGTGAATTGGAAGAGGCTGTTGCCCAGTGCAAGAAGTGGGGGAGTATAGATTTATGAAAGTATGTTTCACAAGTGTATTGGTGAAACCAGTTTCTACAGCAAAGGAGCAACTGAGACTGTCGTCATTTGGAGGTTTTTTTTGGGACATATGAATTGGTTGATGTTAAGGTCTCTGTCCCTTTGGGGGATCATTAAATACCTCAAGAAGAATCCCTTGAGCCGGGAATTCCTTTCAACTGTGTCCCTGACAAGGATAGAGTTTTTTTTCCTCAAGAGGTTTTGTGGGAGAGGTGATGCAAAAAATACCTGTGTGAAAAATACCCAAAGCAGTACTCAAGGGCAGTGATAGGTAATACCTATCTCTCTGAAGTACTGTGGTCCTGTGTATGGAGAAAGGCTGTCAGTCTGTTGGATTGCGCAGTCTGGCGAAGGGCTCCATGATGGAAGTCAAAGATGCTGTTTGCTTCTGATCAGTGATTTGCCTACAATTGTGTTGGCAGAACTTAGGCTACAAAGGGCATTTAGAGTAAAGTGAGGAGTCAGGTTTTCTCTAGATACCATTTGGAGCTGAGATATGATGTCAACATGGAAGTCATTAGGTAGTTGATCAAAGAGAAGGGTAATCTTATCTCATAGGAACTGCTGATATGCCAACATGTAGGCTTAATGCTTGGCAAACCATAAGGGTAGGGCAGCTATGGAGTAGTTTTATGGGCTGAATGCATCAAGTTTCCTACCTTCTGCCTCTGTAGATGAGCAATGGTGAGATCTTTCTGCTGCAGCAAGAGGACTTTTTGAAGAATGCCTCTGAGGCCATGTGCCTTGAAGGGCAAAGGAAAATGGGGCAGGAGGAAACAAATAGAACACAGAAGAAAAACACTATTCTGTGCTTCACTGGGCAAGAAGTTAAAAAAGAAGAGGAAAACTGGTTAAGAAAGTTAGGGAGTTAGGGGCTTTTGTTGTGAGATGACAACAAAAGTGCAGCTTCTGCTGGGGCAGAAAAAAAGAAACTAAGATGGGGATAAGAATCACACCTGCAGCATCTCCAGATCAAAAGCCAAAAAACACAAGGCTTACAGTAATAACAGGAGAAGACAAATCTGTCTTGCCACAGAGTCCCTGAGATACAATACAGGATGGGCATGGATGACATGTGGAGACAACTGACAGTGAGCCCAATTCTGTGTTGGTTATTTAGCCAACAACCAATCCACTGTGGCTTATTGCAAGGGTAGTTTAGCATGTCATTGCTGTAATAATGTCATGCAAACTCACTCAAGGACTCTTCTAGAAAAGAAGAAAGATCACCTATTTTTCAAAAGCAACAAACAGGGAACCTGATAATCTTAGTTTAAAAATATGCAAACACTTATACACAAACACCAACAAGCAGCTAGTATGAAGATACACATCTTTCAAAGATATATGCATCCATTTTTATTACGACTTAAGATTGTCATTGTATAGTCAGCTAAAGAACATTGTCAACCTCTTCCAGGTTACTCTGTTAAATTAATAGAAGCTGCCTTGGTTGTACGCTAGAAGCATGAGACCAGATCCAGAAAACTCAGACATCTGGTTGCCTTGAGATTTGATGGTGGCCACAAAGAATTTCAAATATTTAGTCTTGCACAGGAGAAGTACTAAGTATCCAAAATATTTTTAGGATCCTTCAGAGCTTAAAGTATGTTTTAGCTCTGTGTAGCATTGCCTTCCTGTAGCAGGAATTTGGCTTTTGGTCTTAAAGCTTTGAGTTAAAATGCTACTTTGGCAAAGGGCTCATTGAATGGGCTTGGGCCATGGGTCCTCAAACTACAGCCTGCGGGCCAGATCCGGACCCCCATGCCCATTTATCTAGCCTGCCTCAAAGGTTTTGGACTTTCTGTGCATCTGCCCACCCGCACCCACTGCCACCCGCCTCGCCCTGCGCACGGGGAGGTGGCGGCTGCTCATGTGGAGATTGTTTTGGACTCTCAGAGAAAACAATCTCCAAACGAGCAAGCGGCTGCCTCGCGCACCTGCCGCCGCCTTGCGCCATGTGCCCACCTCTGTCTTGCCACGCCTGTGTACCCTGCCCCCTCCCCGGCCTGCGCATGCTGCTGGCACCACCTTTCCAGCCTGCGCCTGGCACTGGCACCTTTCAACTGGCCCCCTGGTGAAAAAGTTTGAGGACCCCTGGCTTAGGCAAATCAACTTATACACACTGACAAGGCAACTACGCATATTGTTTTGTGTGAGATAACTTGACTTCCAAGGCATCAGTCCTACTGGAGACCATGCAGCCTTATAAACAAGTTTATCTTCTTAATTTTGCGGTCTAAGAAAAACATGGTACAGCAAATTTGCCTATAAGCAAAAGTTAATCACCTCTGGCTGGAAAGCCATGCACCACAGGATCACTTTTTGATCTTTTTCTGAGAGGCTTGAGGACATTCCTACAGGTTCCCACGAGTACTGAACTTGGATCTGGATGTAAGGTGCTTTCTCCTGTCAAAGAATTGACAGCATCTTCATCTACTGTAAATAATAAGAGGGAGGAGAAGAAAAGCCAGTTAATGTAAGCTTGCATATAACCCAAGATCCTTGAGAGATATATTCTTGTAGTAAAAATTTCATGGTGATCATTAAGCCAAATACTGTCTCCCAAAAATGCTTTTAAAAATATCTTGAAAATTAGTTAGAACAGTAAAGCTAATAGCTACACTAATAATGTATTTATAAAATAATGTACACAATAATGTATTTATACAGGTAGAATTGTCACAGGTATCAATAATACAGCATTCATGAGAAATAATAAAAGACTAATTTGTTACTTCTGGCAAACTATGCTCAGATCAATCAAGCAAAGTATAAATACATTATTTTAAATTTTAGGTTGGTGTGGGACACTAATTCTCACATACATGCAAACTTGCACACATGTGACAGCAAACACATGGACAAAGAGATCTTTTCTAAAAGTATAGAGCAATGGTGGCAAACCTATGGCACGCATGCCACAGCGGGCAGACAGAGCCCTCTCTGTTGGTACGCGAGCCAAGTTGCCCCAGCATCACCCCAGCAGCCGAGCATCGGATAACAGCATATATAGGGGCCATGTGCATGCTTGAAAAGGAGTAGTGGTGCCAGGTGATGATGTCACAAGCCACGACTCATTAGTCACGGCTTGTCCAAACTTTTGCATGGCCAGTCAGTGCACTGCCAAGGACACTCACACACACACACACACACACATTTGCTTGGACTGGCTGTGAGTTTTTTTTTTTTCTAAACTAAAAACTCAGTTTTCAGATTTTATTGCAGTGTTTTCACTGCGATAAATAAGTGGGTTTTGGGTTTCAGTTTGGGGACTTGGTCTCTAAAAGGGTCGCCATCACTGGGTTAGGGTTAGAAAAATGACATGTCCTGGTGTGATTTTGATGCTTGGAATGTGTTTAGAATGGGTAGAAATGATGAGTTGTGCAGGAAAAGCTACTCAAGGAAGGCATTTTCAAAATCACTCTCTTTTCTATGGTATTTTACCCCTATGTTAGGGTTAGGGGAGTCCACCAGGGTAGGGTCTAATGCTTACCTCATCACAACATTCCAAAATTCCCTTTTTGTCCACCCAACTATTGGATTTCAAGTAACCAACTTATCCAGAGAACACATCTCCTGCTAGGCACCTAACTTGACTAAACACCAGTGTAGGTCTCATTCTTCACTGAACCTGGCTGGACACCCTGAGTGCTTTATCTGGGTATATAGCTCCACTGGCACCAGTGACTCATGCTGTCTATATAGCAGGTGTACTGGACTAAGAATGCACAAAAAAAAGCAGGTTGCTTACCTGTAACTGATGTTCTTCGAGCGGCCATCTGTGCAGTCACACATATGAGTACTGTGCCTGCGCAGTGCCTTTGGCTGGAAGATGGATAGCTAAGGGTTTGGCGGGAAAACTCCGTTCCCCTCCCCACTAGCAGTATATATGGAGCATCTGCTATTTTCCAGTCTTTGACAGACCAGATGTTCGCTCTCTAAAGAAACAAATTGTAGCTAAGTATGGAATTTTTTTTTCTTCGGTATCGACAAGAGAGAAAAATATTGTGTAGGTACCGAGGACAAGAATAACACGGTATCGAAACACCACCCAATGACACCGAGTGGGGCCGGTGGGTGGGTTGTGTGACTGCACAGATGGCCACTCGAAGAACATCAGTTACAGGTAAGCAACCTGCTTTTCTTCGTCGTGGCCTCTGTGCATCACACATATGGGTAGATTAGCAAGCTAACCCTGACTGGAGGAGGGAAGGTGTCATCAACGAAGAATAGCTGAAAGAACGGCTCTGCCAAAGGAACAGTCCTGTCTAGCATGGACATCCAGCCGATAATGCTTCGCGAATGTACATGGAGTGGCCCAGATGGCAGCCCTACAGACATCTCCCGACGCAAAGGCTGAAGAAGCAGCTACAGCGCTAGCAGAATGACCCCTTGGAATTGTAGGTAATTCTAGCCAACTGATAGGAGAGAGTAATGGTGTGGACTATCCACTTGGAGAGTCTCTGAGGGGTAACTGGAAAACCTTGATTTTGCTCAGAGTACTTAACAAAGAGTTTGTTGGAATGTCGAATAGACTCAGTCCTTGTTCTATAGAAGGCTAGGCAGCGCCGTACGTCGAGTGTGTGTAAGGCTCTCTCAATCAGATTCAACAGAGATGGAAAGAAGGCAGGTAAGACAATCTCTTGGCCCAAGTGGAAGGGGGTAGCCACTTTGGGAAGAAAAGATGGATCCATTCGTAGAACTACTTTCTCCCTGTGGAAATTCAGATATGGAGGGTCTACGCTGAGGGCACAGAGCTCACTAGCTCTCCGAGCTGACGTAACTGCTACAAGGAATGCTGTTTTCCAAGAAACAAGACGTAGGTCAATCGTTGCCAAGGGTTCGAAAGGAGCTCTTGTTAGTGCTTGTAATACCACTGAAAGGCTCCAAGTAGGCATAACCGGTCTAAACATCAGATGAAGGTTATGGAGCCCTTTGAGGAATCTTTTTATCAGTGGTTGAGAGAAAATAGAGGAACCTTGAACTGTACCACGGTAGTAGGAAATTGCTGCTATGTACACTTTTATGGAAGATGGCTTGAGTCCGGAATGATGGAGTTCTAAGAGGAACTGGAGAATATGGTCTATAGATGCTGAGTGTGGAAGAAACGAGCGAGTCTCAGCAAAAACAGAGAATCGTCACCACTTAGCAGCATATGATTTTTGAGTTGACGGCCTTACCGCAGAATCAAGAATGCTTTGGATATCTGGGTGAAAACCTGTTGGACCCGATAGGACATTTGTTGGATCCGATGACATAGGGAAGGCAGATGGATGCGAAGCATGGAGTAACGTGTCGGATCCAGGAACAGGATCCGTAGAACGTGCAGATGACGTCGGTAGCGAGTCAGCACCGACTGTTATCAAATTCACCAAGCTGTCAATTTCAGCGATGTTAAGTCCGGGTGGCAAATTGTGCCTTTTCGCTGGGTGATGAGATATGGAATATGTGGGAGTTGAAGATAGTCTTCCTGAGAAATGTGAAGAAGTGTCGAAAACCATGTTTGGCGTGGCCACCATGGAGTTATCAGCAGTCCTGTGGCCCCGTCGTGGATTATCTTCGATATTACTCTCATAATGAGGGGAATCGGAGGGAAAGCGTAAAAATTCATATTGTTCCAAGGGATCATAAAGGCATCCCCTGATGACCCCTGTCCGATTCCCGCTCTTGAGCAAAAAGTCTCACATACCCTGTTCAGCCAGGTGGCAAATAAGTCTATGTCTGGGTGGCCCCAGCAATGGAATAGCTGGTTGCATGTCTGGCATTCCAGTTCCCATTCATGAGACGTGGACATGTGTCTGCTTAAAAGATCGGCTTCCACACTGTCTGTACCGGCTAGGTGTACTGCTGTCGGGGTAATGTCTCTCAGGATGCACCACTCCCAGATCTGCATCGATAGCCGTGCTAACGTTGGTGACTTTGTCCCTCCTTGTTTGTTCAGGAAAAAGACCGTAGTGATGTTGTCTGAGGTTATCTGAATGACTCGGTGCCAAAGAATGTCCTCGAACAAGTGTAGGGCCTTGAATACTGCCAGGAGTTCCAGGAAATTGATATGGTTTCTGGATTCCTGTTGATTCCACACGCCTTGAGTGCGTAGATTGGAACACACTGCTCCCCATTCGAGTAGGGATGCATCGGTACCGAGAGTCACTGAAGGGCATCGAGATCGGAATGGAACCCCAACGGTTAGATTGGCCAGAACTGTCCACCATAGCAGAGAGTGAAGAACAGAGGATGGGATCCAAAGTAACTTTGTCGGTAAGTCCCTTGGTGGTCTGAACATTTTGTTGAAGAAGAGCCGGAGAGGATGAAGTCAAAGCCTGGCATGTGGGACAACGGCAACTGATGCAGCCATATGTCCCAAGAGTCTTTGGATGAATCGGGAAGGAACCGTCCTGTCTTGTCGCATTCAATGGATGTGCTGAGCAAGAATCTGCTGTCTGCCCCATGGGAGAAAGGCTTTTGCCAACGTGGAGTCCAGAAGGGCTCCGATGAAAGTGATCATCTGTACAGGAACAAGAGAAGATTTCTCAGTGTTAATGCAAAGTCCAAGGTCTTGCAGTAGAGTACAGGTTGTATGTATCAAGGCAAGAAGTCCTTCTCTGGTCTGGGAGACTAGCAGCCAATCATCGAGGTAAGGATAAATTTGAACACGTTGGAGTTGTAGAAAGGCACAGACAGGGGCCACGCACTTTGTAAAAACTCTCGGAGCGGTAGCTAGTCCAAAAGGCAATACCATGAATTTGAAAACTTCAGACGCAACAGCAAAACAGAGGAAATGCCTATGACACGGATGGATCGAGATGTGGAAATAGGCATCCCTCAAGTCCAATGAGGTGAAGCAGTCCTCTCTCCTCAGCAATGGTAGGATATTTTGAAGGGTGGTCATCCTGAATTTTTTCATTGTGATGAACTTCTTGATGTTTCATAAGTCCAGTATTGGACGGAGACCACTGTCCCTCTTCGGGACTGTAAAATATCTCGAACAGAATCTGTGAAGTCTTTCTGTTTGAGCTAATTGATGAACCGCTCCTTTGCGGAGAAGATGTTGAACTTCGTCGAGCAATGCCGGTGAGCATGGATTGAACTGGATCAGGCTCGATGGAGGAACGGTGTCTAATCTATCCAAATGATGCTAAATGATGGATAACACCCACCGATCAGATGTGGTGGACTCCCAAATGGGGAGTCAGCCTTTCAGCCGGTCCCCAAATGAGAGAGGGGTGGGTGGGGTAGGAAGCAGAGGAATCGTTCACCCATCCCGTCAATGTTGTCTCCTGTCGCCCTCGAAGTGACGACGGCCTTGTTGATAACGTTGTGGCGGCTGTTGTCGGCAGCATTGTTGCTATTGTTGCCAGTGTTGGGGCTGCTGCCTCGATTGATAGAGTTGCCGGTACGATGGACGGGTCCAAGACCACTTACTTCGGGCTTGG